TGGACCGTGTATTGTACATACATACTACATACGTACATACATACATATTTACGTAGAATATGAAGTTTTGTGTTGTTGCAAAAACAGAACTGTTGCACACATGAAACTCGTTTTAGTTTCAATGCCTTTGCTCTCTTCTTTTTGCTTTTTTTTTTTTGGTGTCTGACTTTTAAGGGCTCCATCCAACACATGCTTTCGTTCTTGTTACTGTTGTTATTTCTTTGACTTAATTTTAGACGCCGTTGAGTGTTGATGAAAATTGGAATTCCATAATTTTCATCTGTCACCCTGGTCCATGCATGCATGGCTGGTCGAATGCCACACATTGCACTCACTTCGTTCACTCACTTTGGGGTGATGATAAACTCAACGAATTGGTATTTAGGTATGGGTGTGGTTTCTGCGAAAAATGCATTTTGCGATAAAAAAAATTTGCTGGAAATTATTAAAAGAAAATAAATGCACATTGACTTATGTATGTAAATGTACATTGTACATACATACATACATACATTCATATATAAAACTAAAAAATCGCTTACGCTCTTTTCGAGTTTAGGACCACGGTTGCTACATTGGGTAACTTGGTAACTTGGCAACTTTTTTTATTTTTTTATTTTGGTAACTTTTGGTAAGTTTGCTGTGTATAAAGTCAGACTAAAAGAGTTGGACTAAATTTGATAAACTGTACTGTGGTTGTATGTAATGGTGGCAACACTACAAGAAACAATTGCAATGATCAGGCAACATGGCGCACAAGAAAAATAACACGATGCTACAATAAAAAGTCATGAAATACACCCGAAACAAAACCTAGTGTAGGTTGTAGGTATGGTCGAGTACAACATGAAAATAGGTCCCGTATAGTTCCTGAAACCTCCATTTTTTATACCAAAAAAAAACCGTTATTTTCATACTTGATGCACTTATCTATTAATAGCTTGACTCCATCCGATTTAAAAAATCGAACAAGTTTTGAAAAGAGGAAAATGGACGTGATACCGCCCACATAGTATATCATATGTATATGCGTATCTCAAAAACTACTTGACCGATCTCGACCAAATTTGATATACACATTGAGCTTGGCCTCCTCAAGCACCGTGTTGATTTTGACGTAGAATACTACGTCTTACGTTTAGATATGGAGGCCATGTTCAAATGTTGTAGTTGTAATTTTTAGAGCTTCACGAAAACGCTTATTGCACGAAAACTAGTGTAGCGATTTCAAAGCAAAGTGTGGCGTTTTAAAAATAAAATTCCAAACCTATCGACAGATTTATCTTTGTAGTTAACCAATTCGGTTTATGTCGTAAAAAACAACGGTAAATGTTGGCTTATTTTGGTGTCAGTTTTGAGCCTTTTAAGTGCTCTAGCAACTTACGATTTGCAGGTTAAACTTTCTTTTGCGGGATTTAGGTTCTTTGGAGAAATAGGAATATTATCGCGTACAAATTTTATATAGATTCAACAAATACCGAGCATTCTAAGGCAAAAATGTGTATGTAGGTATGTCGGCTTTTGAGTAACAGATGGCGCTATATTTATAACCTAATGTATGTAGCGTATGCAGCGTATGTATGTATGTAAATACTTATGTTGATTGCAGTTAATATGGTAATGTGTGTATCAGATCTGTACCGTTCGTTCGATTTTACAAAATGTGGTATCAAGTTAAAGGGCTTGGCCTTTGGATGTGCAATAACTTTTTATTTTTTCAAAAATAGTAGCCACCTGATAAAAAAATTAATCTCAATTTATTTTTAAGTTAAATCAATTATCACACTATGAGTATCGATTGAAATTGTTTTTAAAAGGCCTTGTTTCTTAATTATATGTAGAAGGGTTGCCACCTGTTTTAAAAAAAGCAAGTTCGACTTAAATTAAGACAGAGAATTGAAATCTATCTCCTGATATGGATGTCAGACGTAAGAGGTTATGGTTTGAAAATATTTGTCAGAGTGTTGCCACCTTGTTGCAAAGCTAGATTCAATATAAGCAATAGGTTAAATAAATTACTTCAATATGAATATAAATCAAAATTGCTTTGAAGAAACTTTATTTCCAAACTGCATGAAGGAGGGTTGCCACCTGATTTTATAATTAAATTCAATTTGAATTAAGAGTATTAGATAATTTAAATATGTATTACAACCCAAATATGAAACGAAAAAGTTTATCGAGGTTTTGACTTAAAAATAATTTGAAGAGCATTGCCATCTGTTTGAAAAGTTGAATTAAATTAAATTATATGAAATATTGAAACATTGGCGCCATACAAAGGAGTATTAAGAAATATTTAGTTTGAGCATTTATAACATTAAATACGGTTTCAACCTGTATAAAAAGTTTGACTCAAATTATTTAATAAGTGAAATTAGTTACTAAAGTATGGATATAACTAAACTTTATTTAAGAGGGTTGCCATATGTTTTTGAAATAAAATTCAACTTGAATTAAAGGAATTAGATACACAATTTAAATATGTATCGCAATATGTGTGTCAGTCGAAAAAGGTTTAACAAGGTTTTAAAATATTTTGAATAGGGTTGCCACCTGTTTTAAAATTAGAATTTAGTTAAATTATGCATAAGTCAAATGAAATATTAAAATATGACGTGAAACGAAGGCGGTAAGATATCCTTGGTTTGTATATTTAAAAATTTAATTTGTTTAAAATTGTAAACTCAAATTATATAATAAGTTGAAGCAATTATTGAAAATATGGGTATCAAATGAAATGGGTTTAAAAAGGCTTTATTTCTGAACTGTATTTAGGAGCGTTGTCACGTACATATGTAAAAAATCAAATTTAACTTAATTCATCAGGCACATGAAATATTTATGACCATAGGTATAGACAGATTTGTTTATTTCTTAACTATATTTTGGAGAGTTTGCTTCTCTATTGCTAATACTTAATATTTTGCTATTATATTCAAAACAATCAAAACGAATATTTTATGCACCGTTTTTAACTTGAATGTGATCTTAATAATATTACGTTTTCTACGTTTAAGTTAAGCGGCTGTGGCTCCGACACAGCCTCCAGGTCAAGACGAAGGCGCTGAACTGATCCTTTTTTTCTAGAAAAAAATCGACTTTATCCGAATTTTGGTACCACAAAGTTCGATTTCCAACATTCGCCATTTTGGAGCTAAAATCCGATTAAACCTCGAACGCAGAAGCAAGGTTGAAAGTTGAGCTAATTTATTCGTCGTCGTCTCCGTCGGCTTTGTGCATGTAACTTAATAAGCAAAAACAACGATAGCTGTTTTATTTAAATTTTTACAGCTTCGAGACTGAAAATTCGTATAAACAAAAAAAAATAATTTTGAACTAATTTATTTTTAAATAAAGTCAATACGGGCCGAATTCACAGTGCTTAGTTAAATCATTGTTAACTTAACCACCAACAAGAGTTTAGCTATGAATTTATATTCAGAGTCACATAGTTCACTATGGAAATTCGTATCGCCTGAAAAATATATAAATTCTAAAAATCATTACTTTTCTATTCAAATTTGAAATTCGTTCCTTGAATTCGGCTTGCTGGTTTAAACTTTTGTTAACTGAGCGTTGTAAATATGAAATTCTTATTAGTGGTTAAATACGCACTGTGAATTTGGCCCTAAGGTGTAGAAATTTGGTTGTGCAATAATTTTTTTTGTCGCTCTAACCCAAAATCCATAGCCTCTTGCCTTTACGCAACCTATAACGAAGCGCTCCTGTTCTCCACCAACAATTACACGAGTTAACAACAGAGGGCGCGCAAATCTATAACAGTTCGGTCATGAACCTTACACCTATAGAAAAAGAAATTGCCTTCCGTGTCACCTGGTAGCGAGTAGTGCAAAATGCTTTAGTCATGGTTGCCAGGCTTAGTAGAAAAAAAGGAGGAGCTATGGAGTGACAATAATTTTTCATAAAAAATCTCTCTTTTAAGGTGTATTGAACAAATAAGGTAAATTTAAATCGAAAACAGTTTTATAAAATTTTTTGATTTTTGAAATATGTGGTGTTCTTTGTTTATACAGAAATTTTTCACACAGGAAAAAATGCTCATTTTAAAAGCAAGTTAGTTTTCTTTATCGAACATCCACACTACCATATGAGCGCACATCTTGCTGCCTCTCGCTGAATTCATTGGAATGCACTACCGGAAGTACAGGGTGAACTAGGGAGAGAATAATCTGNAACAAAAGAAGGTAAGATTTGTATCTAAAAAAGACGTTTACTAATATTTTATAAAAAATACCTTTACAAACTTCTTTTCCATGCTAGCGTCCATTTTGGTTTACTTATAAATTTGGCATTTCTCCTCGGCGCAAAAATAATCGATAAAACCAGGTTGAACACTGCAAAGTTATCGATTTAATCTGAGATAATTTTTTTCTGATTACAGATTAACCAGGGACGAATTTTGTTTGGCTAATCGCCTTTTCTAATTACAGATTGGGGAGTTCAGCTCCCCCTAATGAGGATAATCTATTTATATGTAAACCTAGTTTACCGAAAATGAGCATAAGTAAAGAATAAGCCCCTTCGAGTTAGAAAAACATTTTTGGTGCAAATTAATAATCGATTCCAGTTCCAAACTCGAAAGAAGCATCGAGTATTTACATCTAATTGACAAGTTTTAACTACATAATTATTTGATTGTTTTTTATTTTTTATTATTTTTTTTTATAAAAATATAGTTTATTCTTAAACAAAAATCGTATAAAGCCAAGTTTCAATTTTTGTGCAATATAAAATGATCAACAAACTTTCGTAAAAATTTAAATTTTAATTTAAATTTCTTAGAAATATTCAATTCAATTTAATAGGGAATTTACATGATTCCTTTCACAGGCGAACTTCATTGAACGCGATTAGTTGAAAGGCCGTTTACACCAGGCGATTGNTTTTCAAATTCAAGACTTGGCAACTCTGCTATTCTTCTCTCATATCTTCTTGTCATTCGTTTTTTTGCATTCGCTATTTTATTCTATACGCGATTTCCACTCATTCTAGTTTTGCAGTGCAAAAAGTGAATTCGTTTTTCTGCGGAGCCCATTGCAATGAGTGAATAATTTTTGTGCTAATTGGAAAATAAAAAGACAAAACCTTGCAAAGTTGTGAAAACCTCTTAGCAACTGTGCGGAAAACCGGACTGCAAATGTTCTATAGTTTTTGCGAAAAAAAATATGCAAACGAAAAAAGGTTGTGAAAAGAATTACCAACAAGAAAAAAGTGCAGGAAGAAGCAGAGTAGTGAACTAGTGAACGAAGCAAGTGAAATTGCATGTATTGCACAAATGCAGAATTAAATACAAAACAAAAAAGTAAAAAGATTGCTTGAAAAATCTTTGCAATTTTTTTATGTGTTTGAAGTTCGGGGGTAATTTTGTTGAAAATTCCGTTTGGTAAGCTTTGTGCAGTGATAGACACAAAAACAACTGCTGATTGCAGTCGAGGGGGTAAAACAAAAGCAACAACGCGTGCAGCGCAGTATCGTGGGGCGCAGAGGAAAAGCAGCAGCAGCAGCGTTGAAGAAGCAGCTGATTTTCGTTTGACGTTCCGGTGGTGTTAGGCAGAGCGCTACAGCTGCGCTAACTGCGCAGTTCGCCATTCGAAAGAACAAAAGAAGGTAAGATTTGTATCTAAAAAAGACGTTTACTAATATTTTATAAAAAATACCTTTACAAACTTCTTTTCCATGCTAGCGTCCATTTTGGTTTACTTATAAATTTGGCATTTCTCCTCGGCGCAAAAATAATCGATAAAACCAGGTTGAACACTGCAAAGTTATCGATTTAATCTGAGATAATTTTTTTCTGATTACAGATTAACCAGGGACGAATTTTGTTTGGCTAATCGCCTTTTCTAATTACAGATTGGGGAGTTCAGCTCCCCCTAATGAGGATAATCTATTTATATGTAAACCTAGTTTACCGAAAATGAGCATAAGTAAAGAATAAGCCCCTTCGAGTTAGAAAAACATTTTTGGTGCAAATTAATAATCGATTCCAGTTCCAAACTCGAAAGAAGCATCGAGTATTTACATCTAATTGACAAGTTTTAACTACATAATTATTTGATTGTTTTTTATTTTTTATTATTTTTTTTTATAAAAATATAGTTTATTCTTAAACAAAAATCGTATAAAGCCAAGTTTCAATTTTTGTGCAATATAAAATGATCAACAAACTTTCGTAAAAATTTAAATTTTAATTTAAATTTCTTAGAAATATTCAATTCAATTTAATAGGGAATTTACATGATTCCTTTCACAGGCGAACTTCATTGAACGCGATTAGTTGAAAGGCCGTTTACACCAGGCGATTGTTACTTTCAACTAAAAATCGCCTGAAAAATCGCCTCATGTAAATTCCCTATAATAATAATAAAGTGCAAGTACCCATAACTGAAACAATAGATATCCTATTCAAAATACTGACAGAAAAAACAGGAAACAGAGAAATCGCCGTAGAGATAACTAACGCACTCAGAACGACGTTGCGTCAAAACTACTTTAAATTTAATAACAACGTATACATGCAAGCAAACGGGCTAGGCATGGGCAACCCCACATCGGCGATCCTTATGAGGTATTCATGCAGAATTTGGAAGTAAGGTACATGGAGTATCTTACGTCGCAACTAGGAGCGACGTTCTACGCCAGATACGTTGATGACATAATACATAATACTTCCGACCACCCTCATCAGCATAAAAAAGCTGCCTTTAGGCAAATGGTCAATAGAATTGAGCAAATACCACTAACGAAAGAAGGATACAAAAACGAACTGAACGCAATATATGCCATAGCGGCTAATAACGGATACAAGAGAGATCTGGTAGAGGAAATCCGAAGGGAGCACAAAAACAGAAAGCCAAACAAAGAAAGAACAATGACACAAATTGGGCGGTATTAACTTACAAACTAGCAAAGCTGTTCCAGAAACACAACCTTCGCACATCATTCAGAACAAATAACAACGCAGGACGGATACTACGGAACACCACAAATCAAGAAGACCCATTGGATAAAAAAGGAGTGTACAAACTAAAAATCTTCGACGGCAAAATAATAAACGAACAAACAAATACCGCATCGGATGTTATATTCGAACCCTTAAAATTATTTTACGAGAAAAACAAAAATAACAACAGGCATGGACACTCCGAACACACCACAAAGTACCACAAGGACAAAAATCACCGACTTTTACTTACATATCTGCAGGCAAAAACTATACAGAGACAACATAACGGATGTTAATATCGAGACAGCGAAGATTAACCTATTACCTGCTTCTGAAATAAAAAAGGATACCATGGCGTTTCTAATAATTAATCATCGACGAAAATCACATTACCTAAGATAAATGAACATAAATTAAGGACAAAAACTCGAACCAGACAGAACAAAAAATGAGACTGAAGATGGCACAATGCCGAAACCGGTTTGTCTGCAAACCAAACTTGACAAGTGATGACGGAACTTCGTTCCAAAATAAATCATCTTACCACCCTGTCGGAAAAATCAACCAACACCAACATTTTTATAGTACTCTAAAATATCAAAATTAAGTGTAAAAAACCCTTAAGTACTCATACTTTCAGAAATTCATTTTCCACAAACTGTAAAAGCTTGTGTTTTCAATTGCTACCAAAATATACGTTACTACACAGTTCTTGCACAAAATGTTTGAACAAGTACAGTTATTCAGGCAGGTTTTTAGCGACTACTTACCCCTGTTTAAATTAGTTATCCTGCATCCGTTTAAGGGACTATGATTTAAGGGGTATGCACCTGGAATCCTCGAACACTTATTAGGGAAAATGTCTGCCCGGCAGTTTGATGTCCTCAGGAAGACATCGTCGCCATCCAAGACATCGCCTAGGCCTGAAACATGACAGCCTGCAGTACTAGGTTCTTTCTAAAAAAATTTATCAGCTTACGTAGTTGTTTCCAGATCGAAAGACGAAAAACCAAATCAATCAAGGGCCAAACACCAAATCTAACCACTATACTGTTGCAGCCACGTCTTTTACATACCTCTGTAAAGCTGAAACTATTCGCCCATCAATACAAGGAAAGCGCATCGTCAAAAAGGTGCAATCAAAACAGAAGGTCAATTTATTCGCCACTCGACTTTCATACCCGCTCTCAGAAAACGCTCTTCAACAAACATGCAATATGTAAGTGGGACCACATCTATCGTACTGCCGCCTAAGAAGTTTTTGGATTTCAGCAAGTCCGAGGGAACAAATGGTACGACGAGAAATTTTACGCAGCTGTAGAAAAAATAGACTTCGTCCGTCAGTTCGTACAGATGTCTTCTGACGAGTCTTGGCGAAGGCTCCGTTACAAGCAGGTGTCTGTTCGTGTGCCCACGTCTGTAACACCCTACCAGGAATTGCTTACAGAGCATTGTGTTTTACTCCCTTACGGGGAGTATTTGAGCCTCATCGTTTAGATGGTGTTGTGGCGACATCAGAAGGCAACCAGTGGCTGTTCGGAATGCCGTGTTTTGTCAGGTCTATAGCTTCGTCCACTGCGTTCTGCGGGTCCCCGATGATCACAAGGGCTCTGCGAAAATTTAAAATTGCCTTTTATCTTGCCAGCAACGTTTCTTTGTCTTTGCCCCAGGTGCTGCCGGCTAGCAACACTGTTGCGGCTCTGTACTCTATTGAAAATTGCGTTTGTATGCGCCAAGAAGGAAGGTGATTTCCCAGCGGACCTCTGACCTCCTTCGTTCAGGTGGTTAAGCCGGTTGCCGAGGATTTCGTAGGCGAGAGGGTTAGGCTCCTGGCACTGAAGAAGTTAGAAAGTTTGGAAGGGTAACCGTTCAGTTTCGAGCACAAGTCATCAATTCCATTCCCGGACGCCATTATCGAGCCGTCGTCAGCATAAGAGACAATAGAGACTGCCCCTGGTGGCTGAGGCAGCTTTAAAATATAATATTTAAACAGCAGCGGTTTACTGGTTTTATCACTCAGATAAATCGCCCTGTGGGAGAGATGAAGTCTCAATCTCTTCTTGTAGCGTGGAGTGGGTGACGGTGTTAAACGCCTTTGACTGATCCAACGCTACCGGGACTGTTCTCTCACAGGAGCGGGTTTGGTTCAGACCACGAGTTATCTAAATATTTATGGCGTTAGTGCTGTTGTTGTGCTTTGCACTTAACGGAACCCATGCTGATGTCTCGCTGGGATCAGGTGGTTCGTATAGTAGCAAAGCCTCAAGTTTCTTCGCTAACAAACTATATGACTCTCCTTTGTTGGCCGGTTTCCCCGGTTTAAGCAATGGGACCACACTCCCCATTTTCCAGATGTCCGTAATGATTAGAGTGGTCATATTCTCTTGAGATAGTTGAAACTTTTTTGACGTGTCTGCCTATAAAAAGTGCCTATTCGTGTGCCCAAAACCTGGTCAGACGAACAGAAACTTCCAACTCGGCATGTTTTTTTGTTATCTTTTACTTGAAGCATCTGCGCCACATTAAGCAAATAGTTTTTGGGTGTCGCTACCCTCCGTCCACGGCGACTTCCATCATTATATCTGCTCTCGATTCGATTGAAAGTTGCGTTATATTTATACATACATATAAAATGGATAGAAGCGCACGCCAGCACTATTCCTAACTCTCCTCATCTTCATAGCGTTTCCAATAAGTTGCACGCAACCGTAAATGAAACTTGTATAATATTTACAAAGTTAGTCATGTTTTGTGACATCATTTTGTAATTCTATCCAGTTACTTAATCTTTTTTAACATTCCTAGCCGTAGAATGAAAGAGAACCCACTCCACTCATCTCCGTCAATTTAGTATTATGTTAAAAGCTCATTATGTAAAGTGTATTTTAATTTTCTTCAAATTTTCTAGAGTTGCAGAGTTTATTGTATGCAAATGAGAAAAACTGTTATTTTCTTAATCATCATTTGCATCAATCTTCGAAAAATTACAGTTCAAACAAACCAACAAACTAGTTCTCAGTTACTCACACAAAAATTACTATTTGAGTACTCATCAATTACTTACTTTATTACATAATCTTGTTTTCCCTCCAGGGCTCTCACTAGTTTACGTCATCATTGCTTCCAAATCAATGTATTGTAAATAAACTGTACACCAAACAAACGCTGCACTGCAATAGACAAAGCTCTAATACACTTGTTAGTGGCATTTTCACGCCTTGCAATTAATACCGCGCAAAGTAATTAAAAGTATACAATACCGACTTATGTATGTATGTATGTATGTATGTACGATATATATTTATTTCTAACCTTTGTCGTGTCAAACGTTAAATACCAATAGTTTTTGCTGAACACAACATGCAAAGCGAATTCTTCATTGAAGTGATAAAAGCTTGAATGCTTCTTCCGCCACCACACAGTAAAGTGAGCCAGATAAATGGAAAATGTGCAGTGTACTGCACACGCTCAGGGACATTCGGAAGTATGTTGGTTACCGTATTGTTCTTGGTGACTGTTCATTGGTATGTATTTGTCAATATCAGTGCTGTGCGTGAACTACTAGAAGGAGGTTTATTACTTAGGCCACCCAGTGAGCAAATGATGGTAAACTGGAAGTTTGTGAATTCTTAATTGAATTTGGTTTTACGTCAGTAAGAAAGCAGTTTCCTGAATTTGCAAGAACTCTTCGTATGGCCCTTAAAGCATAAACCGACGACAGCGTTGATCCGGATCAACTCGGGAAATAACTGCAGTTAATCAGGATTAAGTCCGAGTTAATCCGGATCAACGCTGCCGTCTGTTTAGCTTTTACACCGTCTGAATGATCTTGAATCTTGTTACATTAAACCGATCTTCGATGGCCTTTTATAAGCAAATCATTTTTTGGCCTATGTAGAGAACTTATGAACTTTGCAATAGGCGCAGCTAGATTTTGGAACCCTCTGACTGTGATGTGGTTCCCGTGGCGTTTATCTAATCTATGATGTATTTTTCAGCCATTGATGCCAAATCACCATGGCATGATTGTTTTGAGGTGATGTATGGTTATCTCCATGAGACCACCAAACCGATTAGCAGGGTTACGCCGCAAGGGGGCGTATAATCGCCGCTACTTTGGTCGCTGGTGATCAACAGAATACTTACTGAAGAAAGTGGAGGGAAGAACTGCCGAGCTTACTGCATGTCCGGATGATATTTCTGTCATACATAGTAAGCGTTAAGTGTCTGTCCACATTCAGCTCACTTATGAGCCAAGCACTACGGGTGATACATTTTTGGGCAATCGAAGTGCGGCTTAGTATCAACGCGTAAAGACAGATCTGGTACTCGTCACCAGTAGATATTAGGGTCCGAACTGATCCAAGCTCAAGCTGGTTGGGGCGACCCTTTTTGGTTGAAGCAAAACATAGAAACCTCGAGATATCCTATAGTAAGCTGTCGCGGCGCATCAATGTGGAGGAGAGAGCGAAGAAGGCCTCCTTGGCATTCAATTCATGCCAAAAGATGCTGGGCTGCATCTGGGGCCTGTCGCCTTCTCTTTCTCACTGGATCTTCACGACGATAGTCCATGATAGTTCCATGGGGTATTGGTTTGATGGACAAAAATATTTCTTAAGAGTGTAGAAAGTGTATATCGACGGCTTAGTGGAAGATCGACCTATCTCGGTAGCCGGTTCGAAAACTCCATATCTCAGAAAACTTTTCAACAACGCACTACTTCAGAATTTGATTGAAAAACGCCCTATCCCAACCGAAAATCCGAATTCTGAGATAGAGCGTTCTTGAAAAGTTCTCTGAGATATTGCGATTTGGATCCGGCTGCCGAGATAGGTCGATATTTCACTCAGCCGTCGATATAGGCTATCAATGATCGGCATGACAAGGGTACTTAGGACTACACCGACGGTAGCACTCTAAACCTTGTTGCACCTCTTTCCGGCGGACCTATCGGCCAAGAATATAGCGTTAAAAACTGCCGCTAGGCTCTATGCCACGGGTCAGTATGTGTGCAGGTCTCAAGATCAGAGTGGTATAGCGTCTACTTTACTTGGACGGATTGATGAATGTTGTATGGAATGTGGCTTTTGTAATGACGGGAGGACTTTTTTTCTCGTCGCCCCACTTCATTCAAAATGGCTACTCGCTACTTTTTCGAAAATATACATAACTGTCAGCAGTGACGTGGATCCCGAGTCGTGAATACTGTGGCTCGATGGCAGGATTTACTTCATTTCATCTTCGTTCACCTCCCAACTCACTCGCTTCTCTTCCATACCTAACTTGGCAAAGGACGTAACAGACGTCTGTGGTTACATCTTTTCCGGCATTCACCGGGCCGGAGAGGCGAGTTTCAATTTTGACGGAGCTGGTTATTTTGCCGAAAGTCATTTCACACAGCCGTATTCATTTCGCAGGAATAGAATATTCTGACATCCGGGCGTACAGTCATCTTATTTCCAAGATTCGGCGTTTGGTGATTACCTGATGCACGGAGGATTTGTTAGGTCTATAGCCACACTACTAAGGCTCAGTCACTTCGATGCTGGTGAGCTGTTCGTCAGCAGGCCGTCACATCCAGCAAATTGCTATTCGTACCCCGTCATAGTCGGCCGGTATCGATTCAGTCGTCATCGACTGGGAATTCGGGTTTACGGAAGGTCCGCCTCGCTTCCCTCTTCAGCTCCCTCCATCGAACTCACAAAGCTCGCGTTGCGCCTAATCGCAGAGTAGCTCTGTTGGTAAAATATTTTTTACATTGAAGCGGCTTTCTATTCATCATCCCACCAGTTGCTCTTTCGGGCGAATATTTTGACTTCCGGGTGAGATTGCATTTTTTCGAGGAAGATTCAATATTTCTGTTGCTAATCGCACATTTTTTGCTGCACAGAAGCGTCTGCATTTCTGGGCTGCTACAAGTTAAGTGATCCTAGTCGAATCGTACTTGCATCTAGAACACCGGAATCGTGGCTTCTGTCCAGCCATGTAGCTATGTACTGTGTTGTTGGATTTTCTTTTGTTGAATCATGTGTCACGTGCCGGCAAAGTCGAGCAGCCTCAGTTCGTTATCGGAGGTTTTGTCGTACAGTCTTGAATTTTCCGAGGGTGCGACCAAAAACCTCTTACTCGTCCCCTGTAATTGAATTCAATTAAAAGCAAAAAAATTTTTTTACAAAATATATTTTGAGTTCTATCAATTTTAGCAGCGAAGCGCCCACTTTTGACTTTTCAGCATTTAAAAATAATGTCACGAAATTGAAGCTTCCCATTAAGCTATTTAATTATTGCTCTCATGGCTTTCCCTTTATTTCTTTTCCACTGAATTAGCTAACAACTTAAAAGTCCTGAAGCCACTAGAATATTATAAGCTGGGTAAGTGGCTGCATTTGCATATTTGTTTCGCCTTCGTCTGCCTGCGTTTGAACGTCGTTTTGTATGAACGACTCTGACCTTCAAAGGCTACACGAGTTTTGCCAATGCACTTATTAATGGATAAACACAACACGTACTAAAAGGGAATAAAACAAATGGAAATAGACGCAATACATACATACAGTGTTACAACAAAAACGTTTATAGTACGGCTCGCTAGTAGGAGCTGAGGTTCCATTTCGTAGTCATTTGCTATATTTTATGCATACAACTACAGCCAATAGCATGAACTAAAGCAACAACAAAAAATAACACTATCAAATGCTATCAATGCGTAAAGTCATTAAAAAGCACTAAAATCGTTTTTTCTTTTGCCTATTTTCCGTTACAGAATCTACGCTAAAAGGCTGAATCAATCGCTCGCGTATAGTTAAAGTCGATATCGGGAGCGCAAAATTAGCGAATGAAAAAGTGAATCAAAAAGTTGGTAACTATATAAACAGACCAAGTGCAAAATAGAATCTGCCGCCAAGTCCAAAACAAAAAAAAAAAATGATTTTCCAAGCGCCCAACAATTTGTCACCTTTGGCTTATGCGCATACTTTATGTGATACTTCATGTATTATGCCAGAGAGGATTACGATAATAGTACTATCAATTGAGTCGGTGTTTTGTGATCAGCGCCAACAACAACAACAACAACAACAACATGATCTGCATGCAGCTGTTAAAGAGTAAAACGTTCAAGGCAAAACTATTTGTTTAAAGGCTGCCTGTACCTTACTACTGCATCCCCAGGTGAGCAAAGTGCATGCATATACATACATATATGTACATTAGGATGGTACAAAAAAAAAGTCGGAATTTTAATACTCTCACCCCCTAGGATTGTTCTATATCGAGAAAATATTTAAATGTCGCTCAAAGTTTTCCATGTATTTTATTTTTTTATTTTTTCCCCCCACCTTCGTAGAAATGGTATAGAATTCTTGAAAGATAATATTTTTTGATCGGAAAACTTTGTTTCTTTCTATTTTAGCATTTTTTAATACTAAAGATTTTTTGTTGGTCACCCCATTGCATTTTCTGGGTTTTTTGGTTGACCTATAAAATTAAGTTACTATGAAAAAATCGTTAAAGAAACAAATGGGTATTATTACTGAAAATCTCCTGAAGAGAAAGAGAGTTTTGTGATCGAAAAAATACTGCCGTTAAAGAATTCTATACTATTTCTACGAAAAGTTGTTTTTTTCCCATATAAAATACACGGAAAACTTCAAGCGTTTTGAGCGACCTCTAAATATTTTTTGATTAAAAAAAAACAAGTAGGGGTGCATTTTTTCGGTATAAAACAATCCTAGGGGTTGACAGCATAAATATGCCGACATTAATTTTTCACATGCATTTTTGGACCACCCTAATGCACATACACATGTGCTTGTTTTCCTTATTTATATGAATGTATGAAAAAAAAAACTTTTTGGTTTCACTTAGAGGAATTTTCCAACTTTTAGTTTCTTTCTCACTTTTCTACTTTTATTTTGTGTCATACTTCCAGCATAAAGCGTTGTGAAGCCTTGAAAGCAAACGATTATGTTAAACAGTACCTACTTACTGGACTATTGAAACAACAACTTAGCACAACATTAACAAGAACTTTGTGTGATTTGTGTTGTTATAATAGTGGTTTACATATGTACAAGTATTAAAGGAAAACGATAATAAGTATAAAGGACCTAAACAACACAGAGAGAAGTGAAAGATTGCATTCGAGTGGCCATCGAATTGGTAAGTCTTTAATTATAGTTCTTAAAATTACTATTTTATTTAATAGACCTTTTTACATGCTTGTATATTCACTCGGCGACAAAGCTAAGTGCACACCTTGTTCGAATATAATATTTATAATTATTTTCATGATGAAATATTTTGCATTAAAGATTTATGAAAATATAGTTCATTCTATAACATAAACCATATAAATTAAAGTTTCACACTTTATATAAAGTTCACAAAAATTTAGAAAAATTACATCAAAATTTTCAACTTTTTATTCAGAATTTCCAGAAAATTTTCGGGTTTTTTCAAGTTTTGTAGCCCATTAAATTTTAGTCTAATGAAGTGCAAGTTTCAACCGGCTTAAAAATGGCGTTGATTTTTGAAAATTTTTTGGATTTTTGAGAATTTTTCGAATTTTACAGGAGAGCAAAAAAAAACGGTTTATTCTTTGAAGGCATTGCCTTGATAGTCGATATTTTCTCTAGCTATTATTTTACAAATCTGTTGTTTTGATAACGATTTCTATGCATAAATCTCGATGCCTGGAGTTCAGTGTTACCAAATCTCATTTTTGCCACAACGGCGGTTTAGGCGGTTTTGCAACTGGTCCATGGGCGGCTTTGCAAAAACATCGACGATATACTATATACCGTAATGCTCAGAATGAAGAGGGAGTCGATTAAGCCATGTCTCACTGTCCGTCCGTCCGTGTACACGATAACTCGAGAAAAAAATGTATGATATACGTACATATGTATGTACATATGTCAACGAAATTTGGTAAGTATGTTTGCCTTGTATCCAAATAAGGTTGGTATTGAAAATGGGTAAAATCGGACAACAACCACGCCCTGCTCTCAAACCTTTGATATTTCCGCAAATACTGCATCCAAATCGTTGAAAGTTGGAATGTAAAGTATAATTTTATCATAAAATAAGACAGTTATGAAATTTTTGCAAAATGTAGAATTCCATGTGAAACTGTGTTACAAATTTGGGTTTATAAAAATTTAAAGCAATGCATGACCACAGGTATATTAAAAACTGCTCATCAATCAGATTGGCTTTTTATATATTTATCCGCACAAATGGAAAAATTATTTACCAATTACTTGCAACAAAATCAAAATTTTTTTCTGACAAATTCATTTTTTTGCATTGTTCCAACTTTAAGCTCGTCTCATGACTGCAAATATGGATTTTTAACAAAAATACTTTTTGGCTTGGGTTAGCTGGACATTTTTATATGAATTTGCGTAATTACTTTTTCAGAATTCGCTTATCCCTTTTCACTACTACTTTTGGCCGCTGTAGTCCCATTGTGGGGGCGGTTTCACCCTTTTTCAGGTATGTGGTGTCGAACTGCATCATTAGGTTTTTAAGATTTCTGCACGCCTTCATATAACTTTGTTTTTTAAAATTTTGCCTCCCAATATATATATTTTAAAACTTATCCTTTGAAAGTACTTCTTTTGATACGATGTCATACACTTATACCTTTCAAATATTACAGGCTGCTAGATACGAACTTTGAAGAAAAAGCACCGAATATAAAAAAAGTTGGAAAGCTCATCCTTGTGTTGCATCCTTGTAGGCATAGTGAATATTTTTTCCAGCAATGACTGGAATGCTTTGAGCAGCTTCAGACGCGCAAAGTCAATATTTCGCCAATCTCAGAAGAGCAGATATAGCTGCAGGGAACTTGTGGGGTTGCTGCTACTCGTGACCGCCAACACCTAATTGTGATCTCATGCAATTTCACTCATTTCCACGTTGCCTAGCAACAATCGATGTTGCCAGAAAATGTATTAGCATAAAATTTTTTCGGTTTTTATGGCTTGAATTTATATTGAATTAATTTAAAATTTTGTTCACTATCCTAAATTCGCGACTGACTGAATTATGAACATACAATATACATACTAACATATCATGTTATTACATATAAATTTCTTCAGCAAACTGAAAAATTAGCGAAAACAAAAAATTGGCGCCAATTCATAAATATTCCAAAAAAGTCTACACGCCGCCCGCTCTGCTTATTACTACAAAGATGTGCCATTCTTTGTGTTATTCTTACCTTAAGTTATTCTGCACATTCGCATATTAAGTTAGCCTTTAGCGGCGTTAAGTTTCTGCACCATATGATATTTTATCGTGATAAATATGATCGCGTGAGTCCTAATGGATGCAGTAGCGAATAAGCATTTTTAGTTTGCTCATTTTTCGCTTTTGCGTCTGATTTGTTGTTACTTTTTAGCAGCTGGCAACTTGGCACAACAATGGAATAGCCATAAAATAAATGTAAGTTTTTTTCTGCTAAAAAAATTACACTAGAAAATCTTTAAAATATTTGCCGGCTTTTACCGCACGAAAATTTGTAACGGCTGACGGCGATATTTGTAGACAAAATTTTCAACATTAGGCAAAAGAAGTTTCTTAGCAAAACATAAGCTGCCTTTTATCAAGAAAAAATGCCTGTAAAATTGTTGCTAGCATCGAAAATTTTTTTAAAATCATATATAAGGAAAATGGGAAAATACAGGAACACTGAAAATAATCGCATATTGATCTGATTGAATATCAAGAGGTCTTAGATCATATCACTGGTCTTTTTACATAAATCTACAAAAAAAAATTATTATATATATAATTAAATCTTGTATCTAAAATCTTGTATCTTGTACGAAAACGAATCACATAGTAAATCGCAGGATTGAATGTTAAACACAAAAATGTTACTCATACGCCCCTATCAACCCGCATCAATCATTGCGCGCATATTATATGTAAATGCAACAACGAGTATATAGATCTCTTTGAAGGTACTCATTTCTTTCATAAAATAAAACAAAATGCCTGTGCACATATTTATTAACATGATTCATATTTCATACGCAGTAGCATTAACAACTGATCACAATCTCTTCGTACTAGACGCGCATCTGATTAGCTGTCAGGCTCACCTGGTGCCACATATCCATCTCCCATGGTGATTCTTGTGCTGACTAAGCTGTTGAACGGTTTGCGTACGTTTTTTTTTTTTTGTAACGCCACTACGTACATATGTATGCATGTTGATATGTATTTGCAAATAAATATTGTATTTTTTCATATTCGCATATTGTCTCTTTAATAAATATCCGCGAAATCATTTTTTGTTTTATTATTTATTACGTTATTGTTTTTCTTTGCGCATATAATACTTTACCCATGTACACAACATTTTCGCAGTTTAGCACTTTTTTTTCTTATTTTTATTTCGCTATTGTTCTGGCGCTTTTTTGCTTCTTACATTCTCCTGTGCTATTTTTATGTTAACCTGCTTTCAATTTTGTTGTCGTGAGATACTGGCGTTTCGCATCTGCTGATAGCCTAGTCGCTTGCTAACCAGCTTCCCTGTAGGGAAGTGTCACTTTGATGTGAGCCGTTTATCATTGCAATTTTATTCATTTAAGAAAATTTTTTTTAGCCGCAGATGCGTTGACGTTTTAAGAATTTATTCTTTGTGCATGCGAATTTTATTCTTTCATGTCATTTTTGAATGTTGATATGATTTAAAAAAAGTTTTTTTTTCATGTTATCTATTTGAAATGTTAATATGTGAGATCGATTTGTTCTTAGTCGATTTAATTCGATTCGAGAATATTTCCTAGTACATTTATGTATGTATACCTTGGAAAAGTTTAACAACAAATCACAACTGCTAAGATCGAAAATTTAAGATATACTAAGTTCTCTAATACAAAGACTGTGCTTAATCTTTACTATTGGCTTTAAGAAGAATTTTTAGCAAGTACTTTTGACCTAATCAAAAAATTTGTGGAATGCGGAAGAAAATGCTCAACACCATCGGTAAAAAATAAATTCTACAAAACTGCATACTCGAAAATTTTCATAAATTCTATATAAATTTTTTTTTGAAATTTTACAAATTTTTTTGAACTTTATGCATGCTTTGAAACTTTTTTTTTAGGTGCTATGTTATATATCGAATTTGAATTTAAATTTAAGGTATTAACATTATCTGCCATCTGTCTTATAAGAGAACTCTCATGATATCATGATTTCTGTAAAGTCAAAATTTAAATTTTTTTAATTTTCAAGCTCCCAGCCTTTACAAATGCTGTCACACAGACCTATTAATGACAAATCGTTCTAGGTACCTACTGGGCTATTCGCGTAATGCTCGTCTGGGCCCTACTGGGCCATTCTACCACTTAGTTCGCAGTCTGTTGACAATTTCGCTCGCGCACCACTTATCCACTCACTCATTTAGGTGTCGTCAGATTGACGCTGTCCGTTGAGTGATACAACAAAAACGAAAAAAAAGAAACATTGGGTTACTAGATAAATGCTGCTCGATCTTTATTGGTTTAATTGTTGTTGTATATTGGGGCTGTTGCTAAAATGTACATATGTATGTATGTATGTNACTGTACAATAATTTTACTTTACTTTGGGTTTGCATTACTTCTGGCAGGTAGCCAAGTAGCCAAAGAGCAAAAGCTAAAACTAAAGCAACAACAAGAACAACAAACATACATACATACATATGTATGATATGAGCAACAAAACAGCATACGCGTTGGCATTAGTGATGGCATCGTGCAGGCGTGCAAAGCTCAGCAATTCACAAAACTCACAGCGGGATGATGCAAGCAAACATGTGTACTAACACACACACATATGTACATATGTATATGCATTTATATTTATATGTATGTATTTTTACAAAATTTCAACTTGTTTACACTAAAAGAGTAAAAATCGTTGTATTCTATTTAATCAAGTGGTTATTTTTATTGTCAATCCGGCTTGGTGTGCTTCTTCACTGCCGACACGCGGTTTGACGCATTTACACACACACACACACACACATATGTACATATGTAGACATACAAAACAAGACACACAGCCCTCGTGAGTGTTCACAAAGCGTCAAACCACCCATGAAAAGCGGCTAAGAAGTTGTGTGTAGGACAGAAAATAGAAACCACACACAACAAAAACAAAAAAA